TCTCTCTCTCTCTCTCTCTCTCTCTCTCTCTCTCTCTCTCTCTCTCTCTCTCGTAACAACAAATGGAACAAAACTCTCTCTCTGTCTCTCTCTTGTGTGCGTGCTTTTAGTCTCATTGTTTTGGCTAGCTTAGGGTTGCGATCCCCGTGCCCACGCGGTAGACAATTGTGGGACTATCCCTCCCAGTGACACGAGGAGTGGGACTTGCGTAAGACCGGTCCCTTGCAAATTGGCGGACGACAACTGCGGACCTCTAGCGCTAAGGACCGGTCATAGGGGAATTTGGACCCCTATATGCCCTCTTCTGCAGTGGTCGTCCGCCGCCAAAATTCGGCCACCTTGACACAGACGCCCGACCCACCGCACCACAGCCATCATAGGGCTGCGAACTTGACGCATAGCCGTTTGTGACAGCGGTCCGCGGAACCCAGTACGCCTCACTCAAGTGAAGCCGGTTTTGCTGTAGTTTGTATCTGGCAACGGCGGGCAATGTCACCCTGGTTGGAGCGTTTTCGAGATTGACGACGTGTAAGCGGCGGTGCACGTACACGTACTGGTGTCAGGAAGGAAGGCGGTAGCTACAGAAAAAGTTTAGTATCGACGATAGCAGGGAAGGTGCTGCACGAAACGCATCACGGTGAGGGGGGTTGGACCAGCAGCGTAACTCCGAGAGGGAGGAGGAACTGTCTACGGGGGATTACGAGGAGAGCAAAGGTTGAAGGGAGTGCAGGACAGTCGAGGATAGCGTAAGGGGAAGCCATTCGTGGAGAATATTGCGTTTCCTCTCTCTCTCAGAGCAAGCCGAAAGGTTCCGACGATGATCATCTGTGCGGGAATCGTTGGTCCAGCGGTAAGTGTTGTCCCATTCTTCTTTTTTTTTTTTCTCTCTCTCTCTCTCTCTCCCTCTCTTCTCTCTCTCTCTCTCTCTCTCTCTCTCTCTCTCTCTCTCTCTCTCTCGTACTCGCATCCATTCTTTATTTATCGTTTCCTCTCCCCCCAGCGCCTTCTTTTGCCCCCATGCTCTCATCTTCATTCTCAGTCCATAGCCTCGCTGATCTCATCGTGGCCTCTTTCGGTGCGATTAACATCTGTCTCCAATCAAAGGAAGCTGCCCCACGAGGTCACCGCTACGGCAAAAGAAAGAAACAATTTTTGAGGAAGAGACAGCCAGCTCTGACGGGCTTGGACAGCATTCATCCACAACACACCTACTTTTGAGTTATTTCGTCCTCTCTCTCTCTCTCTCTCTCTCTCTCGTCCTTTTCCCGATACGAAGTGAAGACAATGCATGGTTTATTGATGCCCAAGCAGATTCCCCACCGAGTCGCCTTTGGCTTTACAATTCTGTCCCCATGGAAGGGCATTTTTATCCTTGAAAAGGTTATACAGTATGGCAAACAACCGTAGCAGGTCACTCGGGCAAATCATTTCCAATTCTATCTTC